CGATTATTTCAGTATAAATTCTTATTCAATTTTGGTTTTTTTTAGGGTATTTATACCTAGAATAAATGAAACACTTACATGCTAAAAAATCATGACGCCTTCTTTTGATTAAGATGTCCTTTAAAAATAAGCACTACTATCACAAAAAAAAATCTAAAAATTTTTGGAAGTTCTGCTTAAAAAATAAAAGGCATATTTTTAGCACCTTGAATTTAAACTGGTAATAAACTGTGTCAAAAGTGCGAAAAATAAGCGAAGAGAAATGGTATACTTATGTGTAAAGAATATTATGTAGTTTTGATAAATTTTCAGTTGCATATTACTATCTAGAAGTACAGAGTAGCAGCAGCGATGCAATAGAGATGACCTATAAATTCAGGGTAAATTAAAAATTGTGTAATGTTAGAAATACTTGATACAAAAATTCCATATTCATTTTGTGATTTATAGATCTGCGAGAAAAATTCAGTAACGGGACTCGTATTACTGTTTCCTGAATGAAAATACATAAAAATGTGTGCAAAAATTCTTAAGGGAACATATCTTACTTGCAAACAGTGTATTTGCTTGCTATTGTTAGCATCATATTCAATGACATTAACAAATTCGAATATAGAATGTATGTATTAAAATTTCATAGCAATATTTATTGATTCTAAATGCACAACTACTCTGAAATCATATCATTGGCCCGTTAGGTGCCTCTTCGGGATCCTGAATTTTTAGAATTAATTTTGACATTTTTGGGAATAAGGAATGCAGTTAAAAACCTGAAGGCGTTAAGCCTAATAATACTACTACATATTAAATGCTATATTAGCTATTGAAAGTAAGCGTGCTTTGTGTGTTAAAGTCAGTCACTTCTATATTAAATGAATTAAAGAAATTTAAAATGAATAAATATTTAAAATATAGTTTAACGAATTGAAAAATTAAAAACATAATTAATTGTAATTAATTAATTTTCAGAAGTTTAGATAGTATTTTTAAAACTTACTTCTTGGTTCCAGGGCTGTTCTTGAGGCAGTTTGGTGAAAATGCATGAAAAACCACTTTTAGGTCGATTTTATTAAACTGCTTTGGATTAATCTGAATTCAGTAGCACCTTTCACAATTCTCAAAGCAGCATTTATTGAAAAATTTCATGTATTGTCTTATATTTATTTATTTGGTAAAACGCTGCCAAACTGTTCAACTTAAAATCATGACAAAAACTGAAAACTGAGTAAATTTTAAAACTGAAAACTGAGTGAATAAGTGACATATTTTATTGTAGTTAAAAATATGAGTTTATTATTAATCAGTATTTAACAACTCTACAAATGATACGAACATTGAATGAGATAAGATACTTTCGGTAGATCAATGACTTGAGGATTCATCTACTAGTAGGTTGAATAGAATCGAGTTAGATTCTTCTTTCGGCAGGAACATTTTACTATTCCTGTAAGCATATTAATCAGCAATTTTAATAAATACTCTGAAAACTAGCGAATTTTAATATTGAAACCAACATAATTTTTTATTTCAGTTTCTTATATTTTGAATGACAACTTTTTCAAATATTTTTCGTCCTTTGGACCACGTTAATTGAATGCAGAGGTGATTGCTTCCTTTAATATAACTCTTATTTCGTCACGGCTCCTATACTTGCGACTATGCATTTGAAACTTCAGACAAACCCGGAGGAAACATTCGCATGCTGACAAATATGGAGAACATGTCGGCCATGGGACGTCTTCTCATATAGAAAGCATGTCATCGGAAAACATATGCTGAAGAACGGTCATAGATTCTTTGGTAATGTATGGAATTGCTTCCTCTTGTTGGAAACATAGTCTCTCAAGATCTGCAGTATTAGGAAACTTTACAACTGAATTTGAGTGATAACTAGGGAATAAAACCTCCAAGCACTGGTAGTTCTACCCAGGTTCAAGCCCCAACTCACGAGCTGGCTACAAAGATGTTTTCATGGTTTTTTTATTTGCGTAATGTGAATACTATCAATTTCCCATAGAAAATCCTTCAAGAAGATATCCATCTTTTATGCAGATAGCCCTAATATGCATTGTCATAATCAAATAATCCATTTGAACTGAATCCACTCCCTGATTTAGTTCAAGAGATTTGAATCAGAATACTAATTTGACAAAATCAATATATAAAGTTAAAAAATGTATTAAGTTTTAAAATTTTAGAATAATTTAAGTAATTAAAGATACCAAGCTTTTGCAGTTTTGTTTCACTCTGTTTTATTAACAGCTAAAAATATTTTTAAAAAAGACGTCTTTTGTTGTCTTTATTCCTGTATTAAATAGCTTACTTTCTCAAGTTCATTTTATACGTATGTTAAAGCTACTTACATTCTTTGAAAAAAATCATATGCACTCTAAAATTCTTCAAAAAGTTAAGCCCAATTGAGCTGCGATCTTTTTTAAGTAACTAATATTTTTAAACGAAGGTGAGCTCAAAATCTTTTATTTCATTACATCTTACTCTAAATCACAGCTCGCTTAGAATGCATTTTTCCTTGATAACGAAGAAATGGCTGTAGTTGCTTTTATTAAAAAAAGAAAAAAAAAATCCTTATATGAAATATATATATATATATATTCTTTCCTTTAACTTGCTTTCAACTGAGCTTTGTCTAAAATAGTATTATTTTTATACTTCATTCATTATTTTTGCTATACTTCACATCTGTTTCGTTAGTTTAGAATTAAACAGATGATCACGCTTTGAAATGCCAGAATTCCATATTGGCGTAAACAAGAATTTATGTCAAAATTGAATGAGCAAAATCTTCATCTAACATATATACAAATTCGTTAAATTATTTCTAAGGTAAAAATCGTTTTTAACTGTTTAAGAATACAACATATGAAAATTCATGATTTTCAACTACACTTCTAGCACTCTAATAGACCCAAAAACAGCAGAAATCTGGCAACATATAGATCAACACCTTATCTATCAACCATTCAGCACATTCAAATCGCAAAATGATATATTTAGATATAAACAGTAATAAAAACGTTTAGAGTCATTAGGTGTTTTTGAAGCTGGAGATATGAAAAATGAGCAATGCCTTGGCCGAGACTCGAACCTGGACGCCGAGTGTGCTACCGGTTACACTACGATGGCATGCTGGAAGGAGGGAGAAAATACCTTATAAACTGAATAGCTATCTAAAACAGACAAATCGACAACCTTGTATTCGGCGTTGTCAATTTGTCTGTTTTATTTTCCACGTCGGCTTGTTGCTCTTACGTCTTGAATAGCTATCTATTTAAAATTGTTAAAAACTGTCCCTTAGAACAACTCATTTTTATTAATACAGTAGCGGCATAATTTTAACACAGTAATATGATCTGAGAAATTACATAAGAGATGTTGCTACATGAAACTTATCAGATAAACAATAAAAGTGTTGATATTGTGCATCTGATTCGCTTGTGTTATGTGTATGCAGTTGTGTGAGTACCATGATAAGAAATGAATGAATGAAAACTCATAGGTAGAGTTTGCAAAATGTGGGATCCAAAGTTCATAATCTCGTGTTCTTTTTATCTTCTTTGCTTTTTATTGGAGTTAAAATGATCTCTTGACTTATAAACTGGTTGATCCTGGAGATATTGAGGAAAAATGTTTACTAATTTTTTGCTTTTCTTGAGTAAACAGAGGCTACATGTTTCATTAAATTACCCTTAACAAGCATATAATTTAATTAAATCCATGAGAAAGAGTGCTTCTCAAAATCCCAACATCTCATCTTTCTTTTCAAATTCTTCAGATAACTATAATTAAATAATATACTTTTTGGGAACTTAATATTGAAGAAATAAAAGTTAATAAATACATCGCCTTATCACGTGATGCTTTGTCTTTTTTATTAATGTTGTGTAAAAATGCATAACAAAATACATGACACCTATGATGTGACTTAAAACGGACATCAACATAGTTTCTTCTTGTTTTAAAAATAAAAGGAATGTAAGAGAAGATTAAAAACAAAAACTGACATTTAATGATGCCGAATTGCTTTACTCATATTACTATGAAAAATCATACAAGATCGATTACAAATGTGAGCATCTGCAAATAAAAAAAAATTCACTAGAATCACAGCTTTCAAACTTCAGTGGATAAAAGAACTTTCAAGGTAGTTATACTCAATTCTGCTTGGAAGACTTTTGGACCTTCAAACGTGTTTTTCTACTCTTATAATATCGATAATGGGAAATAACTTCGCTTTCCAAATTGTTTTAAAGAACTAAAATAACTCTCATGCATGCACGAGAGATGATACATAGATGTAGTCTGGAAATCCATTCTTTATATATTTTTTTAATACACCACATCATAAATATATCTATAGAATGAACAAAACGGTAGAAACAGTTGCCACAGAAAGCGTAATATTGATACCAAGCAAAGTTGGAATGTATCCTAATCATACGCATGAATGTTAAGCTTCATGAAATACGCATGAATGTTAAGCCAGCCCATTAAAAATAGCAAATTGTAGTCACTAGAAGTGACGCAGGTACGAACAGACCTTCTTTTCTGCCGCCCTCCATTTCTGCGACAAAAATAATAAAAAGTATATAATTATAACATATTAATAAAAATTGAAATTTCACTGAATATTAAGGCATATATACAACCTTCGGTGTTAAAGAAACTTAAGATGCTCTCCTTAAAAAAACAAGTTTTCGACCGATGCTGATAAAGAGTCATCCCATTTATAGATGGAATTAACAGAAATTCAGTACAGCTCAAAACTAAAGCAAAATTTTAGTCACGTAGGTATTCTTAAAATTTACAAATACATGCCTTCACGGTCTCCCAGAAAGCTGAAAATTTTGTGTCGTATATGATTTGCCTGTTCGGTTGTACGTATCAGAGTGAGCAGCTTTTTCTCACTCATGAAAAGGAACAAGTCCTCAGCGAGATCCAGGTTAGCAGACATTCATCTGACATCTGTTCTCGAAAATGCTAGTGAAAGCAGCATGTCTGCAGGCGTCCGAAAGCTGGTTGTAAGAGAAAGATGGCAGGTGTCGGGAAAGAAATAATAGGTACCCATCTACTATCCAACTTTCCTTATGTGCTTTCTATTTTAAAAACAACTACTGTATTGATATATGATAAGATTTTATGTAGTATTTACTTACTTTTATACTCACTACATCAATAAATATGAAAATATTTATTATTTTTTTTACTGCGGCTGGCACTAGTGTGAACTGACAACTATTTGGCCCACTTGAAATACCGAGCTTGACATGCCTTGTGTAGAATGTTGATCACAGCCAGGCAGCTGTTTTATCTCTTTCCGTTGCCGCATGATGATGAAGTGGCACATGGTCTCCCAAAGCAAAGTAAGGGGGCGGGGTGAAGAGGGTGGATTTACAGATTCCTTCCTATAAAAATTATCGCTCTTCTCGTATTAGAATCAACATAAGAGATTCGTGAAATTTATTTTTCGGCAAACAAAGGAAATTTCAATCAAACATAAAATTCAAATTCTTAATAAGTTATACTGCTTCTGGTTTCTAGTATCATGTTCTTTTGGCTGCAATCAAATTCGATATAACCGTCATTATCGACTTCTCTTCAAAGATGTCTCATCTTTCGATAACCTTTTCAATTTTCTTTTCGTAATTCTCAAGGTTTTCTGTGTTCTGATTTTATATAAATTCCTGACTGCCTAATTTCTATTTTCTCATTTCCTAATTTTTGGAAGCTTCGGCTGAGATGCATGTTAAGCATCGTTCATTCACTTATGATAAATATGACATTGGAAAGATATATTTTCTCAGAACAATCCTTGTTTGATTTATTAAATAATTAGGAAGGAGGTGATGCAGATGACGGGTACGAAAATTTTCAGGTGATAAAAAAGTCTCTATATGTGTCTTAATTAAAAAAAACAATCTAGTCTTTATAGTTCGGAAACTCTTCATTTTTTCAGTAGCCGCACGGAAGGGAATTTTGTGCCGTAACTTTTAACAGAATGCTTTATAACTTCAGGCGAAAATTCGCCATATCCTGCGGTCTGTATGTTTTGTTCTAACTTAACGAATATTTTTAATCTAGAATCATCATTATAACAACTCACTGAACAATAATGTTTTTCAGCGACGTCTGTAATTAACGCTGATTCTTTTGCTGCATTCATCTGATCCATGCAATAGTTTAGCATCAAATAAAATGAAGGGACAGTTTGGGCAATCGTTATTGATAAGAGAGAGATTAGAATATACATGTTTTCCAAGACAGCTATTCTACAACATAAGGCTGTAAAGATAAATCTTTACATTCATTAATCATTTTATCTTTTAGCTTCTTAGCAGATTATCTTCCTTCTTTGCTCCAGGATAGCAAATGATTTAATAATTATTGCAAAGATTTCAATTTTATAAATGAATTTTTAATAAAAATTAAAATAAGCTACTAGATCGTTGTGTTTTATTATTGATTTCTTCTTTGCAAATATTGTGGACAATGTGAGGTTTTAATTTAAGATGTTGTAGATCAGTGGTTCTCAAAGTGTGAGTTGGGAGACAATTTTTGTTGGGTCGCGAAAAGTTTTGAAATATTATTTTTCTCGCTATATAACTGTGTGTATATTATTCCAATAATTATGAATTAACTTGCAACTATCAGTTAGCTGTTTAAATAGCTATACATATTTATTTTTTATTATTTTATCATTAGAGTACTTTTTCTAGGAATCGATGTCTTCGGGAAGGACTTTATAAGGGAAACTAGTTCGCATCCATGTAACACATGGGGTAAACCAAGAAAATTCCCATGCAACCAGCCCGTTCGCCAGGATTCGAACCCCGAACAGAACTATCAGGGTTTAGTGACTTTCCTGCTTCCCCACTGGTGAGCAGTATTAGCAGTGTATCAGACTAGGTGAGTAGATTGTTATGGTATTCTTAACAATCATTAACTTTTAATAATATGTTGAATATTGCTCAAAATGGTTCGCAAATGAGTACTCTAATAGAGTGGATTGCATTTATTAGATTGTGGGAAAAATACATTAGGTTTACCTAACATAATACCGTAACGAGGAAAGGAACCTCAGTGTTCCTAGAGTTAATAGTAGTGACCTATCTCTGCTTGTAGGCCTTACCAAAAACATTTCGTAAGCATTTTTCAATGGGTCCTTTTATAACAATTACAAGGCCTTAAAGTTTCAAAATATTGTTGTGCAATGTATTTCAGTGCCCTTCCCATCACAGCTGGTTGGTACTATTGGTAGCTTTTCGTTCTGGTGCGCTTAACTGCGAAAGGATCATATTTAAAAAATTTTTAAATTTATTTTTTATTATTTATTAGACAAAATAAGCGTTAGCCCAGAGAGGCTATTAATCTTGAAACAGCATTTTGCGTCGAATCACTATAAATGGCTGTATCACTTTTCAAATTGTTGCCACCAAATATTATCTTCCTGTATTATATTTAAAGAAACTAAATAATGAAGAAGCTACATGAATGTATGCAAGTTTCTCGCATTGTGATAAAACATGGTCACCAAATTTGGAATTTGTTTTACTGTTTATTTCATATTTTGTAAAACTTGAGCGCATTTTGATTAAAAAAAACTCAACAATTTCAAAGCAAGCAGTCGCAACACCGTACGGGGGGGGGACATTTTTATCTCCAGCGCGCGTGACTCTCTATCGGAAATTCTAAAGATATCTTGTTTTAAAATATTTTTAGTTCAATGTAGAGTTAGCGCGAATGCTCTCGAAACATGTATGTGTCTGTAAATGAAAAAAAAGTCCGTTTGTGCGTATTATAAAATCTGAAAACTCTCAACACTTTTTATTTATTTATTTTTAGTCCTCTCACCTCTTACCTTTTATTTTTATACTAGCAGCATATTTTAGAAATTTCTAAAATGCTCTGAAGGAATGTTTTCCTCTGTGTAACGATATATACGCACAGACATTCTTATATGAATAGTATATTGATCGATTACCTTGAAAGGCAACAAAATGATAATCCCAAAGCAGCCAGCTTAGTTAATTTTAATGCGCTGAATTCTATTATGACATTTCAAATTGTGCACCAGTTCAATTTATATAAGCTGTTTCTCCCAGCTTCTTAGTATGATTTCGCGGTGTAGTAGTCAGCACACTCAATGCGTATTCGAGAGGTCCGTAGTTCGAGTCCCGGGGAGGGCATTGCTCATTTTTCATCTGTCCTGCTTAGAAATAACCTAATGTCTGTACAGTGGCGCCCGAAGTAAAAAAGTTAGTAGATGATGATTCTCCACCACCAGGATTTGGCGATTCGTCCCCTAATCCCCAGTCTCCTTTAAAAGGGGGAGTATTTCTCCCACCTTCTTAGCATGCCTTCGTGGTGTAATAGTCATCACACTCTACGCGTATTCGAGAGGTCTGAGGTTTGAGTCCCGGCGAGAGCATTGCTCATTATTCACATCTGATGCTTCCAAAACATCCTAATGTCTCTACAAGATTCTTAAGATCATTGAGAATGTAGTTAATTAAATTGAGTCTACGGCTAGTCAGAATAAAAATGTATAACTATGTCGAAATGTCCGCAGTATTTCAAATGTTAGTTTTTGCTTAGTTTTAATTAACTTATTTTTAATGAATTAATTGCTCTTAATGTAAGGTTCAAAAGAACGTTTTTAAATAATGTACAATTATGCCTTTATTTCACATATGTAACCCGCATATTGGTGTCAATATAAAAAAAATCCAATAACTTAACAAGCATCAGTATTTTAAATGTTTCGACACTGATGCGTAATATGACAGTGCAAATGAAAAATCACCAAAACTTTAACATAACATGGGAAAGGTACTTTAAAATATATTTTACAAATATAACGTTAAGAACGTGGTCGCGTCTTACTCATATAAGAATCTTTGAGTTCAAACATTAGCAAAATTTGCTAATGGGTAATGTTTCCTTATTTAAGGTTTATTAGATATTTAGTTATAAACAAACATCTCACCAGACAGACTGTACAATAGAACACATCCCAGTACCATTAAACAACATATTTTAACTTCCTTTTTTTAATCCATGTTTCGAATTAAGCACACGAGGACTATATGTCTAGGACTGAGATTCCTTCGTGAACGACTTTCTAAAAGAAACTGGCTCGTATTCTCGTTACACACGAGGGAAACGCGAAAACGTCCATGAAGGCAGCCCGTTCGCTTCGAATCGAACCCAGGTAGAACGATCAGAGTTCAGCGACTTCACTGTTCGGCTGTTGATGGGCCTTCTTTATTCTTGATGTTAAATATATATTTTTGTGGATTTCGTGGTGTTTAAGAGAAAATGGACAACGAAATTGACAGTTTGAGATTTTTTGACTAAAACTCTCAAATTATTTAAATATTATGCTAGGAAAGCTTTAGCTGAACTAATTAAATAAAATATAATTAATTAAGTTACGGCTTCAAACTTAAGGATTCAGTTTTAATCTAAATTTGGATGCGAAGGCGACATAGATCACTAAATGAGTTTAATGAGTGTCTCTATATCTAATTAACATGCTGATAAATTGTAAACTGTGTTTCATTATAACCCCAAGTCCTGTTTTGTTGCGACAACGTGGCGGGGGTGTCAATGGGTGGAATAGGCGAAGAATGTCGGAAGCATAACTCCTGGTAGGCCAATTTTTATCGTAAGAAAATTCTTTACCTTAACCCCGAACTTTATTTCTAGGACATAGTGATTCCTGTAGAAAGGAAGATAAAATTCCTGGGAGTGCTGTTCGACCACAAGCTTACTTACTTTCCCCACATCATTTCTCTAAAAAAGCAATGTTTAAAATTATGAATACTTCGAAAGGTCTTGCCGAATACTTTCTGGGGAGCCAATCTCAACTCAGTGTTTCGTATACCTATAGCCCTTATCCGCTCTACAGCTCTTATCCTTACTTGACTAAAGAGTCAGTCATTACGGGTCGGCAAGGTCGTCTGTGCTGGAAAAACTTGATCCTGTACATCCCAAAGTTCTACGGATTTGCACCGGTGCCTTTATAACAACTCCCGTGGAAAGCCTGTATGTGAAATGCAATGATACTCCCTTGCATTTAAAACGTGAACATCTCAAGAACTAGTTTAAAGTCACTTCACAAATCAAGATTCCCATCCTTTTTCACTTACTCAACGATTCATTTCACTGCATTTAAGACTTGAACATCTCAAACAGTATTTTAAAATCATGTCGCAAATCAAGAATCCTATTAGTTTTCATGTACTCAATGATTCATACTCTCGTATGTAGCAGGCACGTTCATCGTGTATACCATCATTTGTTCTAAGAATAGGCACCTTACTAGAGCAGTACAATATGTCTAATGGGATGTACCAAAACATACACAAATGGAGATACACAAATCACACACGATCACAAATACATTTGTCGATACACAAATGGAGAATTTCATTCAGATTCCACCTTGAGAGGACTGGAAAGTTTAACCTCTTGGATACTTTCCAACGTTGGGATAAATCTGATACAAGTAATATCATTTACAGGCATATCTTTGCGAAACATAGACCTAAATACAGAAATTATATCCCTCTCTATACAGATAGATCAAAATCTCAAGATCATGTTGGGACAACTTTTGCAGTGGGGAAAAAATTGCTGGTTTTTGGTTACACCCACAAGCTTGGTTTTCACTTCTGAATTTACTGTGGTTTTTCAAGTTTTTAACTTCCTCTCAAAACAATGTTGCAGGAATTTCATTATCTGCACAAGTTCTTTGATTGCTTTAACGTCATTGAAAGATCCTACGTATAGTATCAGATTCTAAAATGTCGGGGATATCAGATATTCTATGCCTGGATCTTGGCCACGCCATCATAAAAGAGAATGTATAATGCTTCTTCCGTCTTCCTAGCGTGCCTCCGTGTTGTAGTTTTTCTGCTGGGCCGGTATTCCAGAGGTTCGTGCTTCGATTCCCGGCGAAGGCCATTGCTCATTTTTCATCTTGTCTGCTTCCAAAAAATACCTAATGTTTCTACAAATGAACAAGCAGATATTACAGCTAAGGCTGCTACTACGAGTCTAATTTTCAGATCCTACTCAGAAATATCAGAACGTTGATCAAACATAAAATTCTGAATAAATAACAGATGCATTAGAATGACCAACCAAACAATAAGTATGAGTTTTTAAACCCACTATTGAATGCTGGCCGTCTATGTCAATTAGAAGGGAAGAAGTACTCTTAACCGGTTTGAGAATTGATCACTGTTGCCTGACTTATGACTTATCTTCTGGAAGGCGAAAGGAATCCACTTTGCGAAACATGCAATGCAGTTCTGACAGTTCATCGTATTTTACTAGAATGACATAGTTATAAATATTTTCCCCAAAAACATCTTAATTGTTTCAAAGTGGATTTAGAAAACTTAATAGGAAACAACCTCATCATAAATTCTTCCAGTTTTAAAAGAGCTTAAAAGTGCTTTTACCATAAATTGTAATCTGTTTTTATTCTCGTTTTATCCACCCTAAACTATAAACTGCATGCACGCAGTCTTTTAACGTATAACTTAATCTCCGCTTAAGCCATTGGTTTGGTGCAAATAACCTTGTAAGATTTTGTGCCAGATATTGCAATACAAACAAAAAAGTCATTATTAGGCAATAAATGAGAAATATAAAATATGTGACATATTTAAATTATTTAAAAGAAAAATTGTCATAAAAATTAAAATCAGTATAAGTAATACAATCAAAAATTAGTATAAGTAATACAATCAAAACTCTTGTCAGCGGGAACAAGGATTTGTCCATCATCAGAGAACATCCGTTAAATGGGGAAGGCACTACTTTCCTATTTTGATAGTCCGGAGAGTAGATCCACCAGTGGCCGAGCATTAAAGTTGCTGAACGCTTCGTAGTAT